AATGAATATCAACGTGAATACTTTATGGATTTATATCCTATTCCAGTTTTGCTAGAGAGTAATATTGTAGAGAATGAATTTTTCAAAATAATACATATTATTTAATTCGTTCAAAATCGTTATTTCCTTATCCTTATTTTATGTGTATCGTATTTATTTTATATTATAAATAACAGTAAAGAACGTTCAATATAAGATCAACAAGAGTTAATAATAAAAAAAAAAAAAAACTGAACTTTTTGGTCGATTTAAACACGAACGAAATAAGTTTATTTCGAAAACTAGTTCATGAACTCGGTCGAATCGCTAAACACGCTTATAATATAGACTAGATCGTATTTTAAACTAACCGTCCAAGGTCTATCAATAGTAATACTAATGACGATATTGAAACGTGCGTCGGGCAGGATGTGATGTATAAACGACGCGAGCAGGACGATGACGAGGACGACGTTAAAAAGGAAACGAGTCCGTTCTCTCCAGCGGCCGGAAAAAAAAACTCAAATGCCCGGTCGGCGTAATAATAACGGAGGGGCGACTGGCGGGCAACAACAATGTGACATCGTAGCCGCCGATAACCCGCTCAGGCGCGAAGACCGTTGACCACTGTAACCGAGCGCGCATCGTTTGTGTTATTATATTATATATTATACGCACGCGGCACGGACACGGTCGTTTTGTAAAAGCGTACGTATAAAAAAAAAAAAATAAATAAATAAATAAATAAAAAAAGAACAATATAATACAACGAGAAAAAGAGATCGGGGAGACGACGGACGAACAGATGGAGAGCAAGACAGAGAAAACGAAAATTATTCAAAGACTAAAAAAGCTTTGTTTATATACATATATATATATATATATAGTCGGTGGCGGGCGCGTACGGTTTATGCGTATGCGCGTGTGTGTTAGGCGTATCAAACGGGAGCCAAAGGAGTAGAATGACCGTCGACGCACACACGCGTTATTGTACTATTATTATTGTTATCATGTTTTTTTATGAGCAAGTGTTACGGCCGTATTGTGTGTAGTATGACAATAATGTTACCCGTATACATTATACACACATATTATGGGTACGTGCAGACACTCAACGGGAGGGTGGGCAGACGCGTCCGAGACTCGAGCGCAGACCGTGCCATACGTAGTGGTCCGCGGGCAAAGTGATGCCTGTGCAGGAGCAACGTCCTTCAGCGGGTCCGTCTCGTCTTCGGTATGCTGTTGTTGTTTATATGCGCGTACCCGATGCGTACACGTTACGTGCAAACAACAACAATGATAATAGTAATAATAATACGACGTGAATAATAATAACCGTGGTCTAATAACGCTGTACGAGACGATCTGCGGTGGAAGATTTTCGAACGTTTTTGGTTCGTTTCGCGAAGGAGCTCAGGATATAAATGTTGTCTACACGTCTGCAGTGCAGTAGTATACCTGATACGTCATGGACGATCGTTATCAGTACATACTTACTTTACCTATTCCCGTACGTGAAAATCAAAATACATTCACTAATCGACGGGCCAAATGCAACATACAACACACTGGACAACTCAATTTTTTGGCAAAACCGTATTGTTAACTTTGATTGTGAAGAAAAAAATTGTACACAAGTGGATGCAACAATCGTAATAATCCGGTGTTTAGTACCTGAGTTAATGGTATAAATGGATTTTACTGTTTTTGAATTGAGTGCAACAAACAAAAAACTCCGGTGTTGTGTGGTTGTTGTGCATAATCATGTGATCATGCTAAAACTAACATTCGGTTGTTGTAACATTCAGAACATTGACAAGGATTCATACTCGTATTTATATCGAGTTTTACTGAAAAACTAGAGAAGAAAAAAATATTTTTTATCTAGTTGGTCAACATGAACTTACAAATAATTATTTGAATGATGTAATCAATAATAATATGCACCGTATATTTATGTATTAGAACAGGGGTTAGCAACCCGCGGCCCGCGAAGCAATTTTTTATGGCCCGCACAAAGATGGTTAATTTTTATGTTTTGTTCAATAAGATTTTTCATACAATTTTCAATACTATTCAATTCTTTTTACTTTATAAATAAAATCTAATCTAAGCGTTAATAGTTGATGTTTATTCTATATAGTTATATAGTCATATTAATCTATAAAATTGTTATTATTATCTAATCGGAGTTGAAGATAATGATGGCTGCACTGTTATAGGATAAATTAAATATACTTATATATATTTAAAAATTAAAATTTTAAATATATTTAATCTATGGTCATAGTTACTTTGCATTTATAGCAATAAGTATTACACCATTAGTATTACGCCCGTACGTGTGACTGCGTTTGTGATAGTTTCATTTTACAAGTAAATCCAAACATTATGGCGACTAAAAAAAGAAAAATTTGTGACGAACATCGTTTTTTAATAATTCTTGGGTTGATTTATAATTTTTCGTCGAAAATGAAGGTAAGCCATTATGTTTAATTTGTCAAAAAATTAAATTTTTTCTTAAAAGCAATTTTTTCCAGTAATATTCGTATTTTTTACACTCATATTTCTATGTAAAATTATCAAATATAATAGCAATACAATTATTAATATATATCATATGTAAACATTTTTTTTTTTTTAATGTGGCCATTGATAAATATTTGAAAAAAAAATATGGCCCGCGTGATTCAAAAGGTTGCCGACTCCTGTATTAGAATATTGAAAAAGAGTCATAGTTAAATTTAACTCTAAACAATATTCTTGTTTTTGGTCAATAAATGGACCCACATATGTTGTTAGATGATTTTGTTCCTAAAATATAATAAAATAATATTCTGAATATGTTACATCTAATGTTTAAATTCCTAAACTTCTAAATAACATGAAATATTTTGAGAAACAACCAAACAACTCCAGTGAGCTATCGACTTTGGAATTATTTTTACGGATGAAGGAAACAATTTAATAGTTATTATTATATTCCATATGATAAAATAACTATTATATAAATAAAAACTACACAGAACATCATTATTATACATTTTATTTATTTTTTTTAATTAGTTTTTACTGTTCCAGAAAAGTTCATAAAAATGGAGTTGTCTGGTTACTGCATTGGACCCGTATTATTAGTAATACCCGTACTACTATGCTGAGTTGGACGAAAAAAATTATCAAAATTATGAATAAAACATAAAATTATGAATAACTAATTATTTTGTGAATAAAGAATAATATTTTATTTTAAATATTTTTAGTTGTAAATGAAAAGTAAAAATTATTCTGAATAATAATTCGAATTTTGAATAAAAAATAAAAATTACCGCGAATAATTTAACTTGTGAATAAATTATTATTCTTATTAAATTAATTAAATTAATAGTGAATAATATCCAATTTCCGTGTAACAAAATTATAATAAAAACATGATATTCATAACAAAGCAAATAATTATAATAACAATAATTTATATAATATTAATAATAATCATGACAAAAATGATAATAGTAAATACTGTACTAAGTTATGTCAGTCTATATTTTAAATTAATTAAAAATATGTTACTAAAGCAGTAAAACTCTATGTGAGAGTAAATAACATGTCGATATTTATTGCTAAACCCTTAGAACATATACTATATGATATATGATCTATGGCTTAACCATTTAGATTAGCCCCTCATAGATAAAAATATAATTTATGATTTTTGGTTATGATATTTTTGATAGCAGGTAATATAACAATAATAAATAAAAATTAATTTCCTCCCAACTCTGGTGAGGGGATGATTTTTTGAGGTGAGGATGATTTGTATACTTCAGAAGACTGATTAAACTAGTTAATAACTAGGCGACACAAATGTCGCCCAGTTATTATATTTTTTTGCCTAATCGATAATAATTTGAAAGTCTGGGTGATATTATGTAGAGCGAATGTGAAATATTTCCATCTCACTATTAAACAGACTAGCTTGAGAAAAAAATTGTTTATCGCCCAGTGAAAATTCCATAAAAAGTGCACTGGGAAGACAAAGAAAAGTATCAATCCCTCCAACTATAAAGTGCTGATTTAATGTTTATATCACTATTATATTGATTGATTTTTTACGGTTATTTACTCTAATATATCAACAGTATAATCGGAAAATTATAAGTGTTATACATTGCTGAAACTTCTCGCAGATTTCATTGCCACCAGAGCATAGTTTGACGCATTCGACGGAAACAATGAACTGACGGGCTGTTATCAAATTATTTGGAAATGTCCTTGGATGTAAAATCTCTCCGGAATATCAGTGTCAATTTAGCAGTGGCGCAACTAGTGGTGGGATTTGGGGGTTGTACCCCGCCCCCGAATATTTTCTGAGATTTTTACAAATTCTACGTAGGAAAAAAAATTGTTTAGCTTGAACACACGGCTATTAACGGCTGATTAATATGAAATATGAATATTATTCGTATTATAATTGATAACAACAATAACATGATGATGTGGAAGGTTTTGTAACGTTCCGTTCAATTTTAAAACATCAATAGCCTTGCTACTACGATTTCTCGATAGTCGATTGTATAATACTTTTTTGTGATATCACAATATGAAATAGAAGTTAAACAGTTTAATTTGTAATTTAAATATTTAACCCATAAACCTAACTAAATCTTATTTCTAGATCCCCACAAAACACCTGTAGAAAATGCTTATTTTTTCCAAATTCACATCCCTCCCCGAAAACCAATCCTGATTGCGCCACTGCTATCTGGATATTTCAGGGATAAGAATGTTTGAAGAACTCGGCGTTTCGCTCGTCCTGGCCTGGGCTATCACGCGCTAACGTATAACCGGCGTAGGGCGCGTTCCAACGCGTGACTGCGGTCCGGTTGTTGGGTTGTACGGGTTTGGAGTGAACACCGTCGGATCGCGATCGTTTCTGCGCATGCGCACCGTGTTCTCTGCCAAGCGAGACTCGCGTCTTTAAGGAAGGAACGATATGCCGCCACCGCCAAGAGACCGAGTCAGGCGATACCGGGAAACCACTACCGCAGTCCGGTCCGCGTCGTCAGATCATTCGTACGCTCCGTCGCGGTCAGTTGTTTCTCGTTTTTCATCGTTCTTTCGTCATACCCGTCGTTGCCCACGAACCGCAGACAGTGTACGCGCGCGCGTGAAAAGCATACAGAAAAAAACCCCCGAGTGCCTTTGGTCGCGAACCGTTAATTTTTTTTTTTTCTTTCTTTCTTTCTCTCTGTTGACAATTAATTCGTTTCACAATTCGATCGTATTGCATTACGTAAATTAGTGTCTGAAGAGAAACGACGTGTACAGGATTTACCGTCGCGCTCACTGACGCACCTTGCACACCGTAGTTGGAACACATCACGAAACAGGTAAGATAACAACCCCATCGGCGTTTTGTCCGGTGAATAACCAATCAAACGGAGCGACCGACGTGTGTATATATAGCATATATAGCCTTCGACGCGTAACTTCTATTATTATGTTTTTTTTTTATTACCTGTCTCCGCAGTTATTTTTCACTGTAGGGTGGCTACGTACCACTACTAAAAACCACCACCGGTGTGCGTAAGTGTTTCTTTTATTCTTTCGATGTCAAGCGAATCGTTTTCAAACTCCACACAACGATTTCACAAATAATATATATTTATCTTAACCACATTTTTCGTCACTCAAAGCGAAACAATGTCTCGTTGATAATTATATAACATTATGTAATCTCAAACTGTTTTGTGATTCTACACATGTCATATTTTTATATTCGTTTTGAAACATTATTCCACATCTTACATTCAACCTAACTAATTGTTATAATCTATTGCTATTATATCATTATCCGTTTCGTCTTGAATTTCGTATCATTACATTTGTGTAATAAGGTTCATCACTAATCTAAACACATATCAATACGTAATGCATTTTCAATTTATTTGATTAGCGCGAGTATAGATTTAAACGTTTAAAATTTGTATACCGCTATGTATATTGGTCTGGAATTTGAAAAATCTTGTCCTGACTAGTGAAATTAAATAAATTTAAAGAGTTATAAATGTAGTGTTATAAAATGTACTTTTGCGCTCAATAACACCGTTTGCACGTATGCAGTAATTTTATAGGTTTCAATTACAATATTACGTGTTAACATGTTGAAATCGCGTTCCGTTGAATCTTATAATCGTCATGTTTACAACAAGGTTAAATCAAATGGAAATATGTGTAATTATTTCCAAACCGTAAACAATACATTCGTCATGAATGCAAAATAATATCTTATTATGTATTACCTCCAATTGGATATAACTGTCAAAATATAATTACACTCGATCCGCCTCTCCTGCGGGATAAAATGTGTCTACTAATGGAATTTTATATATCTATATAATTGTATACGTAAGTCGGGGGAATGCGGGAAGATAGCGAAGAGGAAAATCAGGTTTCCTATAATAAGAGAATCTCGTAGACTTTCTACGTATATACAATGTATGAGTATATCGACTGGTCAAGTACTGAACGTAATGTAGTCTGATATATTTCGAAATTCAAAACAATAATAATACGTAGGAACTTAGTGATCTGATGTACGTATCATGTGATAGATAGCAAAGCATTACTTTATCGATCTACATAACCGCTAAATGTGGTGTATGTAATCAGCTCAAATCGATTTTTTCCCTTGCTGAGTCATATTAATGATACGTTAATAGTCGTTGAAGAACAAAGTGAAGCAATTATAATCGACCACATAAAATCTTTCTTATAAGCTTTTACAACCCATATGGAAAACGCAACGGTAATATGAATAATAACATTATTGTATTATACATATATATAATACATCTACTGTTAAATTGTTTCCATCCACTCTTAATACCATTTTTTTACATCCGTGTCCAACCATATTGACAGGTTTTTTTTTGCCTAAACATAACTGTTTTTGTTTCTTCGTATTCAGTTTTTTTTTTGCTTAGATCAAGTCATAGTCATAGTCACGTATAGGACAGTTTGAACGTGTTTAAACCACGTACGTTTACGTCACACGAAAAATATTTATAGATACAAATTAAGGGAAATAAGTATTTTGTGCATTAACATTGACACAATAATAGGGGTGCTAAAGTATTCCAATTCTCTAAAATTTAAAAATAATTTAAAATTAGTTCAATAAATCATTCTATAATTTGGTCTCTGACATAAAGTTTAGTGTTAAGGAGTTAATGTCATTAAATTAAATATGCTCTATGTGTGGAATAATTTTGATATCATATTTATATGTATGGCTTGATGGCTTAAATTATTCTGTAATTATTGATATTTACACTTTCACGAAGTTATGTATTTTTATCGACATTTTTTCTAAAATATATAGTAAAATATGTGTAACATTTATATTGTTTACTTTTATACTTATAATAAAGTTACTGCATATTGTAAATTTTTACACGATAGTTCAAACAATTTTCATACAGCCATACAATTAATTAATTTGTTTACTTACAACTTATAATATTGTATTTAGTTGTGTTACGTTGTATTTAAATTAGACCAGACTTCGCAATTTACTAAATTATTAAAAAATTTTGAAATAATGATGGATAATCATAATATATTTCATAATATGTTATGATACTATTAAAAGTATAATGGTCACACTTGTGTATATGTATATGTATATAAACACACGTAATCATATTATGACATACAAAATATGGTAAATAAATCAGTGTATATGATAGTAAATTAAGCCTTCTCATTATTTTCTGAACTAAATTATACTTAATCGTATATTAACAAATCTCTAGAATCAAAGTATAAAATAGTTATATTATTATTTATTACCATAGTTATTTTCAGCTTGCGAATGAGTATGTTATTCATGATGAGGTACCAAAGACGTGTATAGTGTATATGTACTCAAGTAGAATAACTTGTGAGTTGTAACCAAGCTGATAATTGTTATTATTCTTTTCCTACATATTTTTGTTACTTAGAAAAATTGAAAAATATTATAACTTAAAGTAATATAATTTGAGTAGTCAAGTAATAATAATCACAGTATATGATGCATGATGCATATTTTTTTCAATAAACGTGTTTTAATATAGAAAATAATATTGAAAATTACCATACAAATATAAAACTGAAATCTATTTGGAAAACACGTTTTGATAGTTAACAATAAATAGTACTTACTTAGACGGCTGTAGCTTATAGAGCAATCAGTATTGTAGTGTAAGGTATAATATACATAGTGTACGAGCTACATAATTATATTCATGGTTATATAAAGGTTTCTGAATTAATATAACTTTGTAACCGTTAAAATAATGATATTATTTATTTTATAATATTTTATAATTTTTATAATACCAAATAAATGTTTATGTTTTTAATATTAATTCTGCGCACGATACATTTTTTATGTATTATTGTATTCATATTAATCTAGAGTAATTATATAAATTATTATACTTTCATTTTTATAATTTTCATTTTGTTCTGTTACTTAGCAAAATCATAAAGATTTTGTTAAATTTCAATAATATATAATGTAACTCAGTAGTAATAATTGTTTATTTAAAAAATATCGTGACATGCAAATAACCTTAAACGTACGATTGTATTTAGAAGAACAAAAAAAAAAAAATCATGTCATGACCATGTCTTAACAACTGTCTTTTTTATAAGCAATAGCAACGTATACATTTAATTTGGATTTTTTTTTTTGCTACTGATAATGCAATAAAACACGACACATTTTTATTTTACAAAAAACTCATATCTTTTTATAAGTTAGCTGGTTTCTATTATTATTAATACATACTTCCATGAATTTATCACGTTCATCATGTTTGTTTCCTAACAAACTTATCGGTGTTTTTAACAAGACTCTGACAAGATTTAGAATAATTTTTATTTTATATTCGCCATGTTTAATATAGTTTTGTATATTAATGTGTTTACTCATTAAATTTCATCATTGAAGACTGCCAAAATCTTACTTAGGTGATTATATTAAAATCTGATTTGATAAACAGTTGAAATGTTTGTTGACATGTGTATTACCTACCATATTACCGAAGATAACGGTTACGTAAAATTAACATTAATTAATAAATTGTATTAAAATTATTATATTTATATATGTACACATTTCAATTTAAAACTGTAGTGCAAGTATTTAATAACAGCTGCTGATAAATATATTGATGTACAATATTTTTCAAATATAATTCATTACATAAAAATGTAACTTCGTTAAACTCAATTATGAATTATGTAACGTTTAATAATTAATTATAGTGTATTATGGGATAGACTGTTAGATAAACGTTTATGAAATTATTCAATTGATTTATAATTTTTAATAAATATTTATAGTTCATACATGACTGATTACGGCTGAAGTTATCCAGTATTAACATTAAACCATATACCTCAAAAAATGTATGTAATAAAATCTTGACGAGATTGTAGAAGCAATGGTACATAATATATATTAAAATGTTTAAGTATGAAAATATGTATTTGAATGTGTTGATATTCTGTGTTTCATTATTAATTCAATATGTTTACAATAGTAAACTCTTTAAATAATGTTCCGAGGGTATTACATATGGTTTCTACAAAGTTAGATCATCAACGCACGGTTAAGAATATAACGGTATACAAAATGTCATGCAATGAACTAACCATTGACTGAGCGACATAGTATGTTATGGTTCATGTTATGGATTCATCTCAACGACGGAGACAAAACCGGTTGTCGTGAGTTTGCAAATTGAACATAATTGTATGTCGGTTGACAACTTGTTGAGTGCAATCATTTCGATGCGTGTGCGTGGAGATTAAGAAATACGCGAATGATATTTTTGCCCGCATAAGATCACCTTGTATATATTATTTATTTTTTAAATAACATAAAATCGTTTTCTACAATGTTATTATTACTCGTGGTAGTCTTAAATTATTTTATTTGGCAGTAAACATTGTTATTTTATTTTTGAATTTAGTATATGCAGTGATAATATAGTATACGTTTAGCATAAATTTGATAAAATTGGGATATTTAAAATATAAATGTTACAAGTGTCTCTTATGCATTATAGCTCATAATAAGTAACTTAAAATGCCTTTATTATTTAAATCGATACTATTATTTTATACTAAAACATAAATTTAAATTAAACAACTAAATGATAATTATATTTTTTGTTCAATACACTTGTTTCATATTTTCTTCAAATATTAGCTCATCCGATTTCTATTGTTTCATTGATGTTTTTTAAAACTAAATTATTTTATATTTTATTGTAATTATGATTCATAAATACTCATACAAATTGAAATATTAATAGAAAAAATATCATAATATTATTGTAAGATTTTTTGAAAACTATATTTGATACACCGCAGGACGACCGACAATGTATGCTCTGTGCAGTGACTTTAACGCAAGGTGTCACATTTATAGATCTAATCTACTATCATTTATTATTATTAATATTATTATGATATATTTTACTTGCTGTATAATACCTATTTATATTTATCTTATAATAACTGCGGTGGTATTTTCTCACGTAATTTCAATGTTTGATCTTGTAGGCACGCATGTCGCATATTATACCGTTGAAAGTCGTGTGGCAAACGATTTAGCTCGCAAAAGAACTGTTCCAGCGATGCCTCCAGGCTCGACTGATTTCTTGTTAGCTAATGATACGTGTACTAAGTGTTTACTTGTGTGGATTTGTGTATACATTATAAAATTCTGCGGTATACTTATAATGTAATGGTGGTATTATTGCGAAAAATCTAGCTGGTTCGCTGTGGCCCAGAAAAATATTATCATCATTATTGGTGACGACACAAGTTCACATTCCTACGCATTCTACGAGAAGATATTCATCATATATATATACACTTGCATATATACATTCACACACACGCAATCGTATGTATATAAACACAAATATGTGTACGCCCATCTAGTGTTAGCACGTGGTCAATTTTTGTAAGTGACCAGGAAACGATTTGTTCGTCATATACAAAAAAAATTACGAAATAAAATAAGGTACTTAGTGAAATTTTAGGTTATTATACATATGTTATATATATATTAGATGTATCTGTAATTTAATACCTAATTTATTGCGACGGTAAAATACTGATAGATTTAATTTTCTTTTTTTTTAAATCTAAATCGAACCATTATGTAAAAAAATGTACACCTACCTGTATACCTGCATACAGGTTTGTACATGTTCTACATGAGTATTGTAATTAACATTTTTATGCAGCTCAAAAGAAATATTAAAGTAACTACGTGAAAATTTCAGGCGTAAAAAAATGAATCAAGTAATTATTTAGATGACACTGCGGGATGAATAGTAAAAACACCTGGCGTATCATTTTAATTATAATATTATTATATCAATGGGTTAGTGCACTTTCAAGGTTGTCAACCCTTTTTCAGTTGGATTTATTACTCAGTTATATATAGATAATATGTATACTAAAAGTCAACATTAATTCAGAATATGAGAGTTGTCTATTATTTAAATGCATCCCTGATGCGGGTGTTGGTCAACATTTAAGATTTAGGATACTTAATTATGTTATAATGAATATATTTTCTGACCGAAACTCAATGAATTAGTAAAACTCTGTGTTCACTTAGTGTAACTTCAAGCAAACGCTTACAAATCTATCCAATCCAATGACCATAAAAGTAGAGTTACGATCTGAGATTATTTACCAAAGGTACATATAGTTGAATATATATATAAATGGAAAATATATAATTTAATTTTTATTGTAAATTTAAATCGAGCACATAGAATAAGATTTCAAATAATGAATTAATTTAGTTATATTATTTTAATATTTTTATATAAATAGTATTTATTTTTAATATAACGTATTATTTATAACTGGGTGATAAATGTTCAAATAGGTATGTTACAAAAATGAATCATTCGAAAAATTGTAACTTTCTTGATGTCTTTGGTCAATAGGAAACAATTAGAAAATATAATATATACCCAAATAAAATTATTGCTTCATATTGTTAAATTAGTAGAGACAATTCACACACTACTTTCAGTTTTATACTACTTGTAAGACATTAATTTGAACATTTTTAAGACTCGTCAATCTATTATAACGGATCTAACAAATAAATCCACAAAGTAGTATTTTAAAAAAATTATCAAACTTTCACCTTTTATTAAAGTCTTTAAGTAATCCGATCGTTCTATAATTAAGATAATTTTATATATTATATGTATTATATAACAATATGAAGACTAAAAATTTATATATTTTCACAATTCTAGTGGATTAAGTTTGACAATAAAAACGAGTAAATCTATTTCAATTAAGCAAGTGAGTGAATTTACATTTACTCAAATATACGAGTAAATTAAAAGTATTAATAATATTTAAGTTGAACATTGATACAAAAATTCATATGACTTTCAATTAATCAAATACACAAATAGAATTAGTAACAAGTTAAGAATGTGTTTCTACACATTTTTTCATAATATTAATTCATATAGAATTAAAAATAATTAATCTAAACATTTATTGAAATTCTTAAATTTTATATAATAACGTTTACTTATTTTATTAAATTTAAAATTACTCGTTAATTGATTTAATTAGATATCATTTTTCATAACCAAACCTACTAGCTATGAGTATGTGTCTAATTGTATACTTTAGATAAAGTATTTACGTAACATATAAAACATAAAATGCAATCTATTGAAAGAATACAACTTAAACACAAAAACTATATGATATGTAGACGTTAAAAATTATATATATTTTAGGCTATAGTTAATTGGATTTGAATAATTTAGTTTATGATTGTTTTTGATTTGAAATAATACTCATATATCACCGTGTATTGTTAAAACGCAACTAAAAAAACTACTGTTTAAATTTTACTATGTATTTTATAGTTTTTAATACATAATGAAAATTATTTTGAATTTTTTTTTTTTAGGTGGTACGAAATGGATTTTAGAACAGTTTGAGTACAGTTCTATTCGTTCATCATGAAATCTAAATCATGGGAATTGTTATTGGCTGTGGTGGCATGTCTAGTGTACAGGACCACAAGCCACGTGGCACTTACGTTTCCTCCAGCCCGAACATATGACCTGGACTTTCTGGATACGGGCAGAACGCCCGGCCCTTGTGGCATGCCTAAAGGTAAGTTTTTAAACTCGTTTAATTATATTGCCAAATATAATAAGGTAGTTATTAATATTGACCATTAAATGTCTACATACCGATGGTTATACTTATACACACATGTTGTTATCAGTGTTCCTTTTCAGATCTCTTCATGTTTATAGTTTATTTGATAACCATCAGCTGCCTGTCTTGTGCATATTCGTATTACAAACAATAGGCACCACCGACCATTGTGTCGTAAAGTTCTTTTTTTTTCATAAAATATCTTCACCATAGTAATTGTCTGAAAAGTCATCATAACATAACAAAGTGGTTCATACTGTTGTAGAATAACTAATTTCATTTCATAACACCAGCGCTCGCACAATAGGTCTATAGACGTAGGCAGATGAGATTTTAATATATCCTAAGGGAGCAATGCATCGGGCAGGTCGGCCGAAGGACACGCATGTTTTTAAGCTTTAATAATAATAACAACAACAACAACAATACAATTGGATTAATCAATTCAAAAACAGTGTACTGTTAGTATACTGTTGTGCGTGTATAAATAAACAATTATAATAGATAGGAACGAATTACTTTGTAGGAATACGAGTATAGACTATTTCTTTGTAGTTAACTCTTCGTGTAATCTACAACAGTTAAACACCCGTGGTTATTTGTTATAGTAAAAATGTAAAACTATGAAAAGACTACTCATCAAAAATATGGTTGGGTTTATTTATAATTTTTTATTCTAAAATGTATTGGATAAGTCTTGGAGTCTTAGTAAGGATTTTAAATTATCTTTTACTATCTAATTCCAAATTTATGTTCGCGATTGCAAACTCAAGTATGTATTTATGGTTGAAAAGCCACAAATTCACTTAATATTTTTAGTGTGAACAGCTTGTACGGATGTAGCTATTGTACTTACTCATTGTCGAATGAATGCAATTAACAGAAGAAACATAACAGTACTCATGACAAAGCAGAATAACATAGAGGAAATCGTTAGTGGAATAATACAAGATGATTAGAGTTTTATTTCGATTTACTGCACAGTGTCAATCGAATTAAATACATTATTATTAATTTATTGTACTTCATAAAATGTATCAGATTAATGTCCAGATTAATGAATGGGCCAAGGCTTTTTGATCTGATGATAAAATGATACGAAAAGTAGTCACTAAACAGTTGCAGTACCATGTAATGTCCATTACGTAACATTCATAGCACATAAAATATACTCACTTTGTGTAGATAGATGCACGTAACACTTTTTTTTTAATGCATGTACGATAATATACGCGTATACCTGCGATTGAATTAATATTATTAGGACTCCGTGTTTTGAATTTATCAGCGATAGGATCCTCAGGTTATTGAACGGGATATCAGACGTAAGTTTTTGGTATAATATTTTGAAATGTATCTAAAAATTATTATTACGATTTTGTACACGAAATAAATAAAACACCAAGTGCAATTCGTTCCCATACACAATCGGTGGACGTATACCACAAAATATATGGTGTTGCAACGGAAAAAAGTGAAAAAAAAAAAAAAACGTATAGGCATTGGTATAATAGCGATTTGACTGCTACAGGTGTTACACAACCGCACGTCATTGGTCGAATATACAGCCCACCTGCTGTAGCTACCTGCAGCAAAGCAAAGAAATAATATTCCAACACCTATTTTCTTTAGATAGCTACGCGTGAATGTTATACGTAATGAACGCTAGGCACTCCTCGTTCGTTCAGAAGACGTGGTTGATCGTTCGCGGTGATGCTAGGAATCCCGTTTAGCTACTTCTCCACCCCCCTTCGTTTGAAATCTATATGGTATTTCAAATGAACCCGGTTTGTTTGGAAATTAATCTCATGTGAACAGTATGTTTTTTCATTACATTCGTTAACCCGAGATTTATTAAATATTTCTTCCCGAGAAATTAAATTATTTATATATAATTATGAAATGTTTATTATAGCGATAAATTCATTACTTTCGCAACGACGTATTGGAAAAAAATTGAGATGAAGATATTACGCGAGATGAAATTGAAAGTTTCTCCATATCGGTTTGTGTCAATAGAAAGTTGTATTTATTTATTTTTGTGTTCAAGGATTTTTTCGGTTGACCTCGAAAAAATTCATTACTTCGGACTTACCTCGTCCTCGTATATTATCGAATTTAGTGTATTTCCGTATGGATATTTATTAGACTTATATTATTTACCTCTGTCATGTCGAATATTACATTTCAGCACATAGTTTGTATTCAAACACGTCATAAATTGCTGTTCTATCATAAACATATTAATATATTGGGTCACTATATTTTAACGACGTATTTGCAGTGTCCGATCGGTTTTCATTCTATATACATATAATAACATATGCGCGTATAGATTATAACGACGATTATTATGTTTACGTATGATACAAATTCTAATGCTGATCGTTTGCCAGTATAGTTTTACTATTTTTAATGATAACAACCTTGAACAGAAGAATGCGAAGAACGTGCATATTGAAATTGAAAGTAAAACAATCCCGAGAGGACTCCACCCGTTTGTTTACCACCTAAATTATTAGGAACCATATTATATTGTATGCACATTTCAATGTGAACCGTACACTATAAACACTATTTTGTACCTAAAAATATTGATCTAGTGTTCCTGTATAACATAATAATAATAGTACCATTATTCAAATCGTTTTCTACGACCTGTCCACGACCTGAAGACGTGTACGCAAAAACCACAGCTAACCGCGGCTTGTGAAGTTTTCCCATAAGTGTTTGGTCGTGAGAAGCGAAAGGAATTGTACAAACATAAGGTCTGCGTATATAGATTCAAGTGGCCAAAGTAATGCTTCAGTCGACAATAACATATTTTCAATAGAATATTTGCTCTTTTAAAAATCAGAATACATTGAGAACAAAATTATGTTATAACCAACAGCCTATATAAAATATTATGCGTTTAGTAACTTTTCCTTTTCCTTTTTGTTTTCGTCTGTTTTCAATTGACCTAACTCGTATTTATTTGTACTCTCTTTTTTTGTTACAAAATTAATATTAATATTTCAAATGCGTGTTCATCATAACATTACATATATGGGATATTTCTTCACAATATTACTTCTTTTAGATTCTAAGTGAAGTGAAGAATTTATATTTTTAAATAATCTTCATTATTTTCGTCTGAAATGTTTGCAATACATTTGAATTTATAATGCCTTACGTAATTACTAAAATGTTAATCAATTTAACAGAACTAGGTAAAGTATTTTAGTTATCAATTATAACGCTCACTAGACTATAAATTTATGAAAGTTTATGACCACTTTCGGCTCATGGTTCTAAATTTTACAGACCGAATCGCCATAAAAGTATACGTTTTAGTAAATGTTCTATAACTGTGGTTTCAACGCACGTAGAGCAACCACATATGAGATTTAATAATTATAATGTTTCGACAAAATGTATTTTGCACACATATTATAAGTTTGTAAGAAACGTTTTGAATTGTTAAGTTCATCAACCCAGTTCATTGATTGATTCTCGAAACCACATGCGCACGAATATCTAGTTTAAATGTGCTCATGACATGGATCTTATAGCCGTTATATGAGTATATGATAATAACCAATTTACGGGAATTATACTATCGGCCATCATAACGTGATACTCGTGAAAGCATAAATGATATTTGACGTATTTGAAATGTAATCGAACGCGCTGTGGTGTGGCTGAAAATGTTTATTTCCGCTTCGAAGTCACGTCCACGTTGCATAATGTTAATTATGATAATTTCATTCAGTAAACGTATCTGACGAGTTAATAAGTACGTTCATCATTCGAGAATAAATATATATCTACGTACATGCGCCTTACACACGCTTTCGATTTAGCCACGCACAAACCGGCAGGATCAAAACTTTGTCAATTTGGGTGTGTGTAATGGTTGCACGCTATACAGATACATGTATAAACATATGATCAGCGATAACTGTCGCGTAACATTTGAAATCTCGTTTAACCGTAATTTCTAGATTAACAACATCGCATTCGTGTATGCAGTATAGTGAGAAGTGTTTATTTCTTTTACTTTTTTCACTGATAGGTAGGTTATAGGTATACCGTGTTTCAGTTACACTTTCTCGTCACCAAATACCAGTTCTGGTTAAAAGATATGCACTACTGGAGAAATCTTTACGGAATACCCTGTGTGATGATAATGATGTATGTTGCCCTATACATGTAATTCGATGTAATGTCTTGTAACTCATATTACTCTTGAAATATATGACAAAAAAAAGTGTTGTTTTAGTGTCTAATAATAGTTAAAAAATAGTTCTTTACTCTCTCTAATATATTATTACCAAGTTAATTTTGGAGGTATCTATAGTTAAGAATAATCTGTGCAATCAAATCAGAAACTTTTTTTAATATAATTTTAAAATTAAATACCTACTATGTGTCATGGATTGATCCCGAATTTCTTATTTATTTAAATATTTTTCCATGTTTAATTTTCAAATTATACTAGTTTTTCATTTGTTCTTCTACTCGTATGATTCCATAAATGTATGTAGTATTCAAATTTTGGAAAAAATTCGTTGTCAAACAACTTTTCACTATCCTAGAATTCAAAAAAATCTATAGGAAAGATGGGAAAACGAACAATACTCTTACATTTCTTTTGTTACAACACTAGTATTTCACTTAAAAACTATTAATGTTTCATTTATATAAGACAGTAATTCCACCGCATTCATGTGAAAATCAGTGTTTTATTTTTCCGATCTAAAAGCCTCAAAAATACACGTTTATTAAAACTAAATTATTTACTTTTTGACGTCAATAAATATGTATACACAAAACTATATTTAATTGATGTTTAATTTTGAAAATAAAGGAAATTGTCGATTTCTATATTTTAATATTATAATTATATTAGTAGAAATCACTAATTAATGCTTTATTCTCAGATTTTTAAAATTATATAACGACCAAGT